GACTGGTGTCTTTCATAACATTGTCCAATTAAATAAGGTGTTTACTAGTGGCTGAAAAGTAGTCATTTTTAACAAGGCTTTATACCAAATTTGTTTTTAAATGTTCTAGAATGTATGGTAGCCACTGGAACATAATTTTTCAGGGCTGATACAGCCAAGGCATTTTAACTTTGCTTTTTGGGGGCTTTTGTTCTGTTTGTTTAAATAAAATGTAATGCTTTCAACCACATAAAGAAATGATTGCCTTAGAGGTAACAAACAGATGTTTTAGAGGCAGTTATTATAGAACGTCTAAATAAAATGTGCACAAAAGAATTTATTTCTCTCTTGCCCCTTTTTCCCTTTCCTCTCCTCTTTGTTTTCCCCTTTCTCTGCTCTGCCCYTCTTGTCACGTTAAGTTCTCCCATAACCAACACAAATGACCTCATATTTATAAAGCAATAGTTCTCTCCATGTTTATATAGTCATACAATGCATATATTCTTTGATTATTTTCCCAATATTWTCTTAGATCCTGAGTTTTCAATTCTGTGAATATTTCAATGAAATTGACACAGGTGATATTAAAATAGTTAGGAAACTAAAATTAGACCTTATATATTATATTAATATAATTATATAATATATAATTTTATATTACATAAATGTATACTAAAGTTTTAATAGGTTATTTCACATGGAGACAGTGGGACAAAATGGGTTAAGGAAGTCTGTCCTAGTCTTCTATAATAGCTCCAATTCATCCTTTTTAAAAAATATTTTTTAGTTTTAGGTGGACACAGTATTTTATTTCTGTGTGGTGCTGAGGATCGAACTCAGTGTGTGCTAGATGAACACTCAACCATTGAGCCACAACCCCAGCCCACCAATTCATTCTTCTTAATGGCTGTATTAAAATTATATAGTATAAATATGTTTACTATAATTATTCAAACATTCTCATATTGATGAACACTCACTTTGTTTCTGCTTATTTTTTCCTTACTAGAAAACCCTCTAGGAAACATCCTAATATGTCCTTTATTTTCTGATAGTTTTAATTATGAGTGGTAGATTGGTGGAAATCAAATGGTTATGTTCGAGTACAGATTCTCTTCCAACAAAGACCATCAGAATAATTTACAATCTACTTAGTACTACATGAGTCTCCTTATTTCTGCATTCCACCAGCAATTAGGTTAATTGTAATTTTTGCAAGACTGTTTAGTTATCTATGACCTGATTTTATGTTTTCCTGACTAGTAAATTTGTATATCTGTTCATATTTTGTCTTTTGGGGGATATGGGTATTTAAATTTGCTATTATATGCTTTCCCTGTTTGGGGTTGTTTTCTTGTCAGTTTGAAAGTGATCTTTGTATATTACAGCTATTATCAGTTTGACTTACTACATTTTTCTCCAAATCTATTATTTGACTATTTGTTAACAGCTTTTTTCTTCCATTTTTTTTTGTGCATTCTATTTTATTCTTGAGTAAAATTTTTATTGGAATATTTTTGAACTTAGAGAAAAGTTGCAAAGATAGTTCGGAGTTCCCATATACTCTTTACCCCCCCTTTTTTTTTCTTTTTTTTTGGTASTGGGGGTTGAACTCTAGGGCATTCAACCACTGAGCCATATTCCCAGTCCTATTTGGTATTTTATTTAGAGACAGGGTCTTGCTGTTAAGAGGCTGGCTTTGAATTCGTGATCCTCCTGCCTCAGCCTAGTAGGCATGTGCCACCACATCTTCACCCATGCATTTTATCTTTTATTTTTTTATAATGTGAAAGCTATATCATTAATATGTTTAATTGTAATATTCAGACCTTGTAATTTTTTTATCACCTTAAGTTCTCTCCTAGTCCTAAATGGTACTTTTGTCTTTCTGGATTTCTTATTAGATTTTTATTTAATTWCTTATATTTGCTTTAGTCTGTCTTGAATTTTATCTTGGCATTTATTATAATATAGAGGTCCAATTTTATTTTTCCAAAAGTAAAACCATTTGTGATGGGCACTACTTGTCCCATTCCCACCGACTTGATTACTACCTTTAGACTGCAATCTGCTTGTAGATTTCTACCAAAAAGCCTGCTGGGACATTGACTATCAATGTGGGGAAAGTTTGCATCTTAACAGTAGTCTTCCAATCAGTCAACAGATCTATCCTTTTTTTTTTTTTTTTAGTTCTCTCAATGATGCTTCGTAGTTTCAGTGTACAGATCTTTAAAATGTCTCATTTTTGACTAGTTTTTAATTGAATTTGGTACTTGATTTTGATCCGTATGTCTGCAAATAGTTTTACTTCTTCCTTTGATAATGTTCTGGGCCTTACTGTATGGCCTCAACCTCCAGTAGTGTTAAATAGAAAGTTAAGAGTTGATATCCTTAACCTCATTTCCAATCATAGAGGGTGGAGGTATTTAGTCTGTCACTCTTCCCTAGCTTTTATTCCTCCTGGTAAATTTCTCAACAGGCTCAAGTAAATATCCTTTGGGGATTGATTGGAGAACCCAAAGTTTGCCTTTTCCACTTCCTCAGGTAATTTGCTTTTGTTTTCTCATTTTAAAAAGTTGAGATATGGTTCACATAACATAAAATTCATACTTTTCTCAAGTTTACAATTCTAATGTGGTGTATTCACAAGGTTGTACAACCATTACCACTATGTAATTCTAAAACATTTTCACTACCTCATTAGCAGTACCCATTAGCAATCAGTTCCCATTCTTCTCTCCTTTCTGTCCCTGGCAACCACTGATCGATCTACTGTTTCTATGAATAGCATCCATTCTGAACATTTCATATAAATGGAATCATAAAATGTAGCTTTGTCTTCTTAATGCTTTCAAAGTTTACCATGGAACAAACAGCACTATCACTTCCTCCTCCTTTTATGGCTCAATAGTATTCTATTACTTGGATTTCACACACTTGTGTTTATGCATTCATCAGTTGATGGACAAATTTCTGCATTTTCAGCTTTCTTGGATATGATACCAAGAATTTTGAAATTGTTGAGTGAAATGGTAATTCTGACTTTTTGAGGAACTGACGAACTTTCCCAAAGCAATTTTACATTCCCATGAGCAGTGTGTCATAGTTTCTAATTTCTCCACATTCTTGCCAATACTTGTCTTTTTTAAAATAGTCATTCCAGTAATATCTTTTTCCTTTCCCTAAAACAGGTTAAGAAACTAAAATGAAAGAGGTCAAATGGCAGGTTTTAAGAGTAAGTTTTCATACTTAGGATGTGACTTTAGGACACTATTAAAACTTTATAGAAAAATAAAAAATCAATTCAAATTGCTTTGTTAGTCTCTTGTCTGCCATCTACCTGCTAATAGTAACTTYTAGTGCCTGTGATACTGGAGATTCTATAGTAAAGTAATCCAGTTTTCCTGAGCTGTTATAGATTTTAGAAAATATTCTTATTATCTCATCCTTTTTAATACCTGTGACCTTTGAGCATTTCATTGATGCTTGGTGTTACAACTTTTCCCAAATTAAGTATAAGTTTATTAAAGGTAAGAGCTCCCCAGTGCTTTATTCAGGGAGCATATACATAGTTTCAGTTTACTTAAAATGCTTATACAATTCATATATTAATTAGTTACTGCACAGCCCAGCTTCTCAGCCACTGGGTCACAAATTTCAATTTCCTCTTTTTTGGTTCCTAACCTCCTAGACTTTAGATATTAAGATTCCCAAGTGACTATGCAAACATACCAGGAATGACTGAGAAATGTTCAGCTTCTCTATAATAGGAACTTCTAATCTGCTCTGGAAATGAGACTTTTTAAGAATTTTGTTTTATTTAGTTTTRGTGATGGTAGAATGCATTTTGACATGTTGTACACAATTGGAGCACAACTTCTCATTCCTCTGGCTGTACAGGGTGCAGAGTCACACCAGCAGTGTAATCATACATGTATATGGGGTAATAATGACTGTCTCATTCTACTGTCCTTCCCATCTTTAGAGCCCCTCCCCTACCCTCATTCCCCTCTACACAAACCAAAGTTCCTTCATTCTTCCCTACCGACACCCCCAACCCYCACCCCACTATGGATCAGCATCCACTTATCAGAGGTTTTATGGGATTGGCTGGGAATTAGCATATTTAAGGCAGTGTCCTCTAGATTGATTCATTCAATGAAGACAAAGTATCTACCTACTTGTGCCAGGCTCCAACAGTACTCACYTTCAGTACAAAAACAAATTGGGGAAGAAAGATGCTTGCTATTCTAAGTAGTCTCTATAYAAGCCAGGCATAGTGGTGCATACTATAATGAGGCAGGATTCCAACTTTGAGGCCAGCCTTGGCAATTTAAGGAGACCCTGTCTCAAAATAAAATTTTTAAAGGGGGTTGTGGAAGTAGCTCAGTGGTAAAGTGCCCTTGGATTCAATCCCCAGTATCCCCCACCCTAAAAAAAAAAAAAAAAAACCAGTCCTGTGCAACCGTTGTAACATGACCAATTTCCAGAAGATACCACCAGAGCTCAAGGAACAGCCACTTGCTTTCTGGCTGTAATACCAGAGGGGTCTTAATGTGTATAAATATGAAGGTGTATTTGAAGAGTTTTCTTTTATCCTTTCCAACCACATAGATGAGATCATTGTGCTTACAGAAAGCAAGCAGTTAATCAACTGACACTTAATGATAGGAATATAGCCTAAGAAATGGAGGTAATTTTGTTGTGTGAACACCATGGAGTGTCCTTGCACAAACTAAAACATCTACAACATCCTAGGTGATATGAGATACACTGTTATGTGTACGTACACCAGTGTGTAATACAGTCCATCATTTACTTTTATAAAAACTAGACAWAAAAAAGAAGAAACATTTTTTGGTTATAAATTTTCACTCATAAAAGTACAGTTTGAAAGGTTCTGTTGATGATTTTGAAAATATTCTGCAATTATAAAAGATTAGATAAAGTAACAGTGATTATGGAAATAATGAAAGTGATATTAATCTTTCATCTTTACTTTTAAATATACAAGAAAACACCCCTAAAAARGTAATTAACTGTAGACTACTGGAACAAATGACAGGACATACTGAGACCTGAATGTTTTATTGTTAAGAAACACCTTTACTTTGGCCCAGTTAACAAAGAGTTTTCAATATGATGAGTTCTTCACTTTCCTTTTATAATACAGGGATAAATATAGTCACAAAAGCAGAAAACAAAAAAGGGGAAGGGAACATGTAAATATTTGAGAAAAACGTGGGAAAAAATTCAAATATAAATGCAGGCTTAATTTGCGTTTATATAATGGATGTTTTGCTTACATAAGCAATATATACGAGTAAGTCACTTTTTAAAATCTAGTAAAAAGTGGTAGAAACTTTTGGCAATTTTTGTTCTAATCATTAGGTAATACTTCCTTATTAGAAAAAATTAGTTTCTCTTATGGCTCTCATTGATAAACACAATTTATTTAATAATCACCTCATCATAGATTTCAGTGTTGCATTTCATTTTAATTGATTTTAATTCACTAGTAGTATAAAATGGGATCTATATGTATCTTATAAAGTGAATAATCATAACTTTCACTTTAAAAAAATTTTTTAAAGAAATTCATTTCTATCAAACTAAAYAGAACTTCCTCATAGCTCAGAGAAATGCAGTTTAACTCAAGTTTTTAACAGGTGAGTTATTAAAAGAAAATGCCTACTATAAATTAAAATGTATTTTTAAYATGTTCTAAACATACTTTTTAAATATAAAGATGTTGGCTCTGGTACATAAGAAAATATTTACAACTTAAAAAAAGCAGATTGTAGAATATACATGTTCTGTGTATAAAAATAAGTAAAATGTTTTACAGTCCAGACCAAGGGATCTTTTCTAAGCCAGGTTTTATCCATGCAACTCTATTACAGTACCATTCGTTGGTGTTACGGGAGCACACATGCATGGAAGAAATCTAACAGTAACCTTGAGTTAAAGCTCATACTGACTTTTTAAGGCTTGTACATCTTCTAAAGTAAAATGGTGGTTTGGTGTGGCTGAAAGATCATCAAACAGCTGTTGAATTTGCTCCTTTTGGCCCTTGCTAATCAATGTCAACATCATCTGAGGAAAAAAAAAAAGGCAAAAAGTTCATTATAAGAAACCCTGAAAGAACTGATATCATTAATAAAACACTTTATCACTTACCTTAAACCTTTCTGCTTTACTCAGATACAAAAGATGTTGATACACCAAGGAGGGATCCTTATCAATAAGATGATTTTTCAGAGACTGAACTAGAAGAAGGAATGTATCCCCTTCAAGTTTGTTACTCAGCAACACTGGCAAATCTTTTGGTGCAGTAATGGCTAAAAGGTGTGCACAGGCTTCTTCATCTTTCCTTGTATTGATAGCACTTATAACCTGGCCAAATTCATAGGCATTAGTAGGCTTGGAAATCTCAAGTCTCTCGGAGTGTTCTAGTGTCCCACTGCTTCCACCTCCCTTTTCAGGAGCCAGGTATTCAGTTGAGATGTCCCCTGAGGTTCTTTCAGGCTCCTCATTGCCTTCATTCACCTTCATGAGAAAAAAAAATTATACAGTGACACTGAATAACAGTCACCACACATACTCTGTTGCCTTTGAAAATGGAAATTGAAAACCACAAGTAGATTGTACTTGAGTTTTAAGTCAGAAGTATGTAATTTATAATAAAAATCTATAATTTCTTTAGGAAGAGAATTTTAGGTTCTAAGAATCCAAATTCATAAATGTATTCTATATATACTACTTTAAAATTGTTTTACATTGAAATTATTATTAATTTTATTTTCAGAACTTTCTTTGAATAAAAATGTTGCACAAAATGAAAACCTATAACATTTTTTCTCTTTTTCTTGATAAATTTTACCATTATTCTTATTTCCTTATATTTAACAGAAGTTCACTACATTTTTCAATCTCTTAGAACAGTTATTTTCTTCCTTCTTTAAAGGGAAGAAAACTTCTGGCTTCTCTCACCTATTAGCGTCTTATTCTTAGTGGAAATATAAGACCAAGAATTGGTATTCATTAAGGTACAGGGATTCATGGCCTGGCATTCTTCACTAATGGCAGGGCAAAACATCTGAATTATTGGAAATCACAAAGCCACATTTGATCCTGGGATAGTGCAAAATCTCCAATGAGCCAATCTTATTTCAGAGTGCTAAAAAACGTCTGAGAAAATCTGGAAAATCTCCATGGGGTGTGGCTTTTAGGGTCCAGAAACTGAAGTCAGTTCTGTCAGGATTCTCCAGGTCTAACCTGAAGCAAAGCCTGATGGCTAAGGGCTGTGGCTCCAATATGCCATGGAGTGTTAGCAGTGCCACGAGCAGGCCAGACTGGCCAGCAAAGAAAGGAAGAACTGAAGAAACATGATGCCAGCCATGGACCCACCCTGGGAAATCACAATGGTTAATTATGACTGCAAAGGACAAGTTTTGTCTTTATCACTGGCTAAAATTTTTCACTGATCAACAGAATAAGAACAAGATTTTGTGGAAGTCAAAGGAATACGACCTTAGTTATGTATAACATTTCCAAAAGAGTACTTTCAAAGATAATCAAATACAATACCTCTTGAATTTCAATTTTCCTTCTCTCTTTTCCTTTGTTGAATGATGCTGTGTTATCCTTAATATTGAGGAGTCTGGTTACCTCTTCCAATTCCATCTTTGCTTCAACGATATTTGGGTCTAATAGGAGAACTTGATTGAGATCAGATAAGCTTTTCTGATAATTCTGAAAATGGGAAGACAACAAATAATTTTCATAAATAAAAGACAAGACCTCCATTAGCCTGCATGACAAAGTAAACTGTGTACCTAGGGGGTCTTGTAAATCGCCTGTGTGTGAGTCTGCAGCTAAAGGAGTATATAACCCACTATACAGCAAACCCCTCTATTGAAGAAAGAGCACAGAATCTGGAATTAGTAAACCCACGTGCTATTCTGTATCACTACAGCTTTCCTCTTTCTTACACCTGGTAGGCATCTATCTCGATAAGCAAACAAAAGAGTGAAGAGTCTCATGTTGGCTACCTCCTTGTGGTAAAACTCAAAAAAAGACCCTAAGCTGGGCAGGGTGACAGTCCTACTACTCAAGAGGCTGAGACAGGAGGATCACCTAGGCTCAGCAGTTTGAGACCAATCTGGGCAACATAGTAAGATAAGCCTTAAGTTTTCTCATCTTTAAAATATAACAAAAACCCTATTCTAATTTTCACAAGACTGTACCRAAGAATAAATTAATAAATAATAGTTTAAACCAATAAAGATATACAAATGGTAGTAGTTATATTATTATCTCATAAAACCCTTCAAAATTATTTACTGTTTGAAATAGGTAGTCAACATTTAACCTAAGAGACAATAACAAAATGGGTCCATTGACTCTGGTAGCAGATACAGATGCCACAAAATCAGTCTGCTGTGACAGACCATGTCCTGGAACTTTAAACTATTTTAATTAAACCAGATTGTGAGGAGGCAAAGAATTGTAATGATATGTGACACATTAATAACAGCATGCACTGGAGACTGAGCCACAGATGAGCTCCGTTTGTGGTTATATGACATTCCTGTAATGCCATAGCCCTACCCCTTCCCTCAGCAATGTGCCAGAGCAAGAGTAACATGTTGAAAGGGATAACCTTAAATCCACTCTAATTTATAAAAAAGGTAAATTGTTTACGAACTAATATATACTATTAGTGATAAATTTCCACACGACTGTGTTGCAACAGCACAGATAGAACCTACTAGGGGGGAAAAAAAACTGACACTGTATTTATACCCCAAGTGGGTGTGAATATGGTAACAGCAAACTTTTACCATTCTAAGCATTTTTCAAGGCTGACTTTATTCTCACAAAAGCTCTGTCAATATTAACTTAACTTTCATTGTTCCTGCTTTAAAAATGAAGAAACTTTGGTGTAAGGAAATAAGAGATGATCACAGCAGCAGTGCCTAGAAGGTAGGTGATAAACATTGTGAGCTCTGAGCTGCAGCATGGAAATGGAAGTCCAACCTACAGGAGCTGATGTGGTCATTTTCACTCACTCAAGAAAGTCTGCCTGAAAAGCAATCTGCTTGGTTGGAGGAAATTCGAGAGAATGTGGGTAAGTACTAACACAGAGGCAGGGAGAGGGCAGGGCAGCAGGAAGGGAGAGAACAGCACCAGGCAAGGAGGTAGTGCAGGGGGGTGTCCACCCCCCCACACAAGTGGTCACTCAGCTGACCCTGTGTGTGCAGCTGGGAATACTGTGGCAGGACAAAGCTGGGTCATGCCCTTGTGGGAGCTTACATCCAATGATAAAGAACAATAACAGAAGTAAACACATGAAAAAATAAAATAATTACCAACTGTCATGATAAATAAGAAAAGAAAAGGCTGTGCCAGACACCCACAAGAAAGGAAGGGGATCCCTTTTGCTACAGTTGTCAAGAGAACAAGACCTGAAGAGAGAGCAGCCATGCAAAGTTGTGGGAAGACCAGAGCTTATATAAAGTGTGGCACTGGCCAAAAGGAGGCCTTTACAAATTGCTAAGAACCTCCGTAGACCTTTAAAAAAAAAAGGGTATAATCATATATGTTGGTGATAATGTTTACTATTAGTAGACATTTTTTTAAATTTTTTTTTTTAGTTGTAGTTGGACACAATACCTTTGTTTTATTTATTTACTTATTTTTATGTGGTGCTGAGGATCAAACCCAATGCCTCACATGTGCTAGGTGAGCGCTCTACGGCTGAGCCACAACCCCAACCCCTAATAGACATTTTTTTTTTTTT